AGCAGGAACAAAATGACCCCAAGGAAACAACTTCTATTTCACAAGCTATGCAGTATGAGGAGGACATTGAAACGTTATGAGCATAATTGGAAGAGTTGCAGGAAAGACGTATTCGGGGTGAAGAATGTAAGTAATCTTTTAAACAATAAAACTTAGAATTGTTTAGAATATGATAGAAGACATTTTTCCTACGTCAAAAAGGTTTAATGGAATTCTTAAACATTTCAATAATTTGTTGCCCTTTGCATGACGAATATATGTAATAATACGGCAGTTTCGGAATGTATTGTTTATAATATGTGAAAATATATTTTGCTTCTAATAAATCGAAAATTAAGCCGCAGAAAGATATCCGCGACAGTGGATCAATACATCCAAAAATTTGCACCAAATGGTATAAGTCGTTCTCGTATTATTATTTTATAGAAAGGCAGATTTTGACATCAATAATTTTGTTTATTTGTTCCTTTTACATGCTTTTGAAGTTTTTACTTTTACTTGTTTATCATTTATACGTCTGTTTGTCCTGTTTCTGATATATACGTCGATCGTTTATAGGGTGTACTTTGTTCTTTCCTATTTCTGTTATTATAAATATGGTACGTACTTTCCTGACTGTGTTTCAATTCCAAATTAAAATAAAATCCTGCGTTCTTCAGTCATTTATTGTTTATTTATCAATTAAAAAAAAAACGTTTCGGTGTTTTCCACCATCATCAGTTTCACGAAAATAACAGGTAGTAAAAAAAAATATATAAATGTTTTCATTAATCTAAAAAACAATCACAGTTTGTCAACAGCTTTTTTTTACTACCTGTTATTTTAGTGAAACTGATGATGGTGGAAAACACCGAAACGTTTTTTTTTAATTGATAAATAAACAATAAATGACTGAAGAACCCAGGATTTTTATTTAATTTGGAATTATAAATATGTTTATCATTTATGACTGTTTTTCTTATTTCTGCTATAATAAATATTTTTATCATTTATGACTATGTTTTTTTTTCTAATAACGTCAATACATATACCTACATGTTCCTATTTTGTTTCTAGGTCAGTATTAAGTTTGTGTTTGCCAGCGTTACATCATTTTAAAGGTAGCTGTTACAGGTGCAGCGACTTTTAATGTAGTTGGGCGGGAAGAAGTGGCAACTGTATCTACTTTCTAAACTTTAAACCTGCGTCCCCGTGCGCCTATAATTTAAGGATCCATTATAAATTTCTCTATTTTCAAAGAAAATTATTTATTGAACAAAATTTATTGGGAAAAAGAGCCAGCAATTCAGTTATTATTCTTCAGAAAACATATTACAGTTCAAAACCAAATTCATTGGATCCTGTGCGCGAATGCTCAGTGCGTGTTTGGTGGCGCAAAATAAAAATATGAACTGTACCCGATTAGCGAATTTTTGCCACCCCAATTTCACCGTCCTCTTCCCGATTTCATCACTCACTTTAACCTCATTGTTTTGTACAATATTGTACGAACCATTTCTTTGATTGAATACATTTGTAAATTGCCAGCAAACTATGGCAGACCAAGCCGATGTGACTATGCAGAATGGGGCCGAAGGGCCCCCAAAAACAGCCAAACAACTAGAAAAGGAAGCGAAGAAACAGGCAAAACTGGATAAGCTGAAGCAAAAGTTGGATAAACAGCAACAGAAAGCCCCAGCGAAACAGGAAGTTGAGGTAACCAAAGCAATTCCGTTCAAACCCTGTTTAAGTACGTGTAAGACTGAAGCGTTGCTTATGAGATGAGGGTTTGTGTTTTAGAAGAAGGACAAGAAAAAGGAAGTGAAAGGGGCAGCATTGTATGATGTGGACACTCCTGAGGGGGCCAAGAAGGACGTCAGCAAGGGACTGCCTGATGCCTTCAGCCCCAAATATGTGGAGGCTGCGTGGTATCCCTGGTGGGAGAAGCAGGGCTTTTTCAAGCCGGAATATGGGGTAAGTCTGATTTCAGTTGAGCCAGCCTGAAGACGCACTGTATATTTCCGCTTAGAAATATAAACTACCTACAGTTTTATGCGCTTTTATCAAATATTGCTTAATCGCCAAGGGATTGGATTTTTTCGACAACAGACTGAAATCCCGAAAAACTCATGAGTTTCAAACAATGGCCACAAAAGTATCTTTTGATAAGGAAAACATTATCCAGTAAACCTACTTTAGCGTAATGCGAGAAAGAAAGAAGGACATTTGAAGAAACTGCACTTTTAATGGTGGGAAATGATGTCTTAGAAACCGCATTTTTTGGGCTTTGGACACAAAACAGCCTGTTTCGAAAGAAACAACGATTATTATTATCACATAGTTATAAATAAATGAATATATAAATTCGAAATGATTGGAAACCGGTATAGGAGGTGTTGTACCCAATTTACCACAAATTCAAACAAACAGAATTTTCTTAGCACATATATTTTGTTAAGTAACTAATAGAATTTAACAATTATGTAGGATATCAAAAACATTTACTTACTTTTTACATGATACACCTCAAGCGAATCTTTATATTCCTTTATATTTGTTATAAAATAGTTCTCAATATCCTTACTAAGTGCTTCGTCCTCATTGCAGTACAAGTCGATTTTTAACTCATTTATCTGGCAAGAACTGTGGGCATGACCCTCAACTTGGATGCTGATTTTTCTGAATTTTTCTCGATTACCATAGGAGTGATGAGCATCCCACCAAGAGCGCATTTCATAGCAGGTTACCTGCTCAATGGCCTTAATTTCCTGTTTAATTCTATCGAATACGTATTCGTTGTTCAGGATTTCGTCCCAGTTTCTATCGACTTCTTCCTTTAGGTAATTGTCGTTGCATTGCTTCTTTTTGATTAGGTTGTCCTTGACCAGTTGGAAACTCTCGTCATTGAAAAACATCATTAATTTATGTATGTGGTTCATGAATGCCTCAATTCTGGCATCGATAAATTTGGTGGTTGCCTTTGTGACCTGGGAGAAAACCGTGATGGAAAAGCCTAAAACACCAAAAGTGTCTCTGCAGGAGCAATACACTTGATATCCTAACTGTTCTTTGGTTCTCAGTGTGTCAAATAGGGGCTCTTCTATTAGCATCATAATTATGTCTAACATGGCGCTGTTTTGTATAGTAAAATGGTCTGACTGGTAGTAGTTGGTTACGACAGAGTTGGTATCGCTTTTACAGATGTTTTTGGCCCTGCAACATTTTTCCCCTTTTTCCAGTCTTACCACGTGATATTTGGGCAACAGTTCCTTTGGTAGCTCAGAGTAGCCAAGTTCATTGATGAATTCCTTTACTGTAGATATAGCACTAGTTTCACTTACGTTTCCTTGAACTAGAACTTTCACATACACGGACTTGAAGTAGTTTTTAGCAAACGTTATTATATCGTCGTATGAGACGCCTAGCATGGCATTATAGCGTTCAATCGAGTCCCATTGTTTGTCAACTAACAAATTCAATCTCAACTCCTTGGCCAGCACACTTGGTTTCAGCGACATATTATAGTAACATTTCAGTCTTTTATCCTTGATTGCATCAAATAGACTTTGATTGACCCTGTCGCTTAGATCGTTTATGTATTTTACGATGATGCCGAGTAAATGCGGCAACTTTTGATTAAAGCCCCACACTTTGATCAGTAGATCGCCTTCATACGATTCCAATGCATACGATAGATTGGCTGCGACTGCAGGATACAATTCTTCCGATAATTCAATTGTTAGTAATGCAATAAATGCGTCCAACATGCAGATACTTTTACAGTCGTACAATGAGAGCGAGCTGATTAACTGAAAGTAATAATGGGCGACGGGTAGTTTGAAATGCATGTCCCTTCTGTACCACAGCTCGACTAACGGACTGTCCATAACTTTCCGAGGATATTCTGAATTGTTACTGATGTCCGGCAAAAGAGCGAAGTCGCTTGTAATGAAAGTGTTTGGCGCGGGAAGTGATAGCTCCGGTAGGAGAGGGCAATTTTTCCATTGGTGCATCCACTCCTCTGGGATGTCTTGAACACAGTATTTAGTCCCAAACCATTTCTCTGTTTGGTAATCGTTGTCGATGGTGTTTTGGGACTGTTTTTTCAACAGCATAATGTTGGCTTTTTCTGGCACCATTTCCTCCAGAAGCATTTGGATAAGTTCAGGATCATATTCAACCAATAATACTGAGCCAGTAATGTAATCTTCAGGTGGAAATACCTGCATATTAGAACACATCTCCGATACACAGTCTATTGCACTTTCCTCGTCGGCATATTTGAAGCTTATACTTGCAATTTTCTGCATTTCTTCAAATATGCGTCGCTCTATTCCGTGCTCTCTAAGTAATCTGAGATAAGAGAATATGATTGCGATTACTTCATTGATGTGGGAATAGCCTTCCTCCGTCAGGCTTACCTCCAATTTGAATAAAGTATAGATTGAATTGTGCTCGGACTCTGTGTCTTCAGTCCCAGCGCACGTTGATACAGCCCAATGGAACTTTTTTAAATGAGAGAGTAGGCTGCCTTTTCCTTCGTCGCCGATCAAGTTTGAGATAATGTTTTGAGGTCCACTTCTGTATTTCTTTAACAAAGATGGGAAGGCCCAAGTGATTTCAACCTGGCAAAAATCTTTCATGGGAATCACGTAATACAGTTTGTTGAATTCGGGAGTATTGAATACGCTTCGAAATTCTGTAAACTGAATGGGGGGCAAGTCATTATTGGGTATTTCGGAAAAATGGTCCAAGACATATTGTTGTAGTTGTTCCATCGGTAGGCAAGCTTGCACTGTTAATGTCATTCTATGGGCTGAATAATGCCGATGTCTGAACGCATGTGCTTGTTCGTATAGATAATTCTGATCAACGTTTTGTTTCAATGTAATGAAGTTTCCCCATGAAAAACTATTAACTGGAGAATCTTTTTGCGCAAGCGAGAACAGCAACTGTTGCATTCTCCAGCTATCTGAAGGTACTGCCAATTGAAATTCCGAGTCGATTGCTTCGGTTTCTCTCGCCATCGCATCACGTTTCATTAAGGGCGCCTTAAAAAATTGAGAAAACCTGTCCAGCGCCTCTTCGAAGTGCTTTTCAAGGCATTCAAAATAAAAAACGGTGTGTTCGGCATCCGTTGTAGCATTATTACTGCCGCCGCTCTGCTGTATGAACTTATCGAAAAAATTCTCTTGTGGGTACTTTTCACTGCCCATAAATACCATGTGTTCTAGAAAATGTGCCATTCCTGGAACGTCTTTGGGATCGCTAAAACTGCCTACACCAACGGACAATCCAGCTGCTGCCAGTTTTACTTTGCGTTTGTTGTTTTTCTCGCATGCACTGTCGCTCTCTTCATTAGATTCGCTTCCATCATCTTCGGAATCTGCTGAATAAATACAAAATCTTTTCAATTGGTTTGATGATATTCAGTTTGGTGATTGGTTTGGTTTATGCATTTTTTTATCAAATAATTAGATAAAGTGTCTAAAATATAATTCTTTCACGCTCGATGTCTTATACAGATATACACAATTACTTTTTCTGACTGTTTCTGCCGGTGTTTGACTAATAATAATATATTTTCTGAGCTTTAGATGGTCGTTTTAAGCGCAAATAAACCGTAAGATTTTACATTTTTTGAGTAAATATTGGGCTGTTACCTTCAGAGCCTTCTTCAGATTCTAAGTCTGATTGATCAGCGTCTAACATCTCTTCATCTGAATCCTCAGTTGTTTCCATCTCGACGAAGTTAGATCTCTTATCAGCTATCAAACAGGCTATCAATCCATTTTGCAGCTGAATCACTTTGTATTCTTTGGGGTCGCTTGCGCTTTTGGTTGGAGTTGGTAGGGTGGTAAATGCTCCATTCTTTTGCAAAGGTTTGGCGAAACTTGCGCCCGAATCAGTAGCAATATGTTTGCAACTAGCACTTTCACTTGCTTTCTTCATCGCGGTTTTCAGACAGTTTTTAAATAGGGAGAACTTGCCATGTATTTTAGATCTTAACGGCATTCACTCCGGACTATTCTGCGGCCCTTAAAAAACAGAATTTTGGAATTTCTATGCGAAAAACGTCAGGTTTTCTCTTTCACATAATTTGGGTTAGGTTCCTAAAAAAAGTTATGTTGGGTTAGGCTTTTCAAACTTTGGAAGTTTGCCGGTTTAGTTGGTGTGCTGTGCGCGGTAAATTGCTCAGGCGATGCGGCAATATAACACTGAGGCTTATATTATTCTTTTGTTTTTTTTTTATACATAACTAAAAAAAAATAATTTACGATTATTGGCTGTATAACGCATTATTTGATTGCAGTTGTTTAAATTGTGCTCATGCAATGTGGCAATATAACAGGGCCTTAGTTGGTGTGCTGTGCGCGGTAAATTGCTCAGATGATGCGGCAATATAACACAAGCCATAGTTATTTTTATTTTGTTTTTTAAATATTATGAGTTATTTTTAATTATCAGTTGTATAAAATATTATTTTATTGCAATTTTCTGTGGTTTTATAGTTTTTATGTTTAGAGAAAAAACATCTCGGACGCAAGAAAAAAGTTCACCATTGTGATTCCTCCTCCAAATGTGACCGGCTCATTGCATTTGGGGCATGCTTTAACCAATGCCATTCAAGATAGCATTGTAAGATGGTATGTTCGAGATCTAAACGATTTTTTTTTATTAATATCTAATTTATTAATGTGTTATAGGAAAAGAATGAGCGGTTACATGGCATTGTGGAATCCTGGATGTGATCATGCTGGCATTGCAACGCAAGTTGTGGTTGAAAAGAAACTTTGGCGCGAAGAAGCGAAAACCCGACACGATATTGGCCGCGACAATTTTGTGAAGAAAGTGTGGGACTGGAAGAATGAGTAAGCATCCACACTCAGCAATACGCCTGCGACTATTAGGCGATTTTCCGTTTTGCAGAAAAGGCCATCGCATTTACCATCAACTGAAGAAACTGGGCTCTTCATTTGACTGGGATAGAGCCGTCTTTACCATGGATCCGAAGATGTGCAAAGCTGTAACTGAAGCTTTCATTCGGCTACATGAGGATGGAACCATTTACCGCGCTAACCGGCTTGTGAATTGGTCTTGTTCGCTGAAGTCCGCTATATCGGATATCGAGGTAACTGCTACTAAAAACCCTTAAACCCACATAGCAAAATGATATTCCCAGAATATACCTGGAACATTCATGTGATGTACATGCATATTCCTGGGACATACATGAGTTACATTATGAACGTTCTATGCATGTCCCAGAAATCTGTCAGAGTTAATACACTGAATGTTCATGGTATGTTAAGGGAATGTACATGTGTATGTTCTGACAATGTACCTGGTATGTTCAGTGAATATACATGTGTATTTTCTGGGAATGTAAATGGTATGTTCAGTGAATATACATGTGTATTTTCTGGGAATGTACATGGTATGTTCAGTGAATGTACATGTGTATGTTCTGACAATGTACCTGGTATGTTCAGTGAATATACATGTGTATTTTCTGGGAATATTCAGTGAGTGTACATGTGTATGTTCAGTGAATATACATGTGTATTTTCTGGGAATGTTCAGTGAATGTATATGGTATGTTCAGGGAATATACATACATATATGTAACGAAAGAAAAACGATACTTTATTTCCTCTTATTAGTTTATTCA